CAACCTACTCAAGCCACCTACCTTAAACTAAACGAAGGCCTCCCATTCACAATTATAACAGCAATAATACACGCACACATCAACACCGTTGCCAAACCAGGAACATTCGGGAAAACCATAAAAGAGATGTTCGCTGCAAACAATCTACCCCATGTGAACTTCCCAGACGATGCTCCATCGACAGAGATATTTAAAATTATAACAGAAAGCAGCCTGGGAATAGAAAAAACTCAGGTGCAGCCACACCAGAAAACAACGGACAAGTGAGGAACCAAAACGCAAGCATCAAATCCAGAACAGAAAAATGAGATGGTGGTAATGGAGACAGATACCAGGGACTTACTGAACAGGTCATACCCTCAAGCAATCAGCACAACAGACAAGCCGCAGATACAAAAAACGGACTCAACAAAACCAAAGGCACGGAAGATCACCACTGGCCACCGAGCCCCACCAACATCACCAACTAAATCTCAGAAGACTCCTGACTACGGCGAGAATATCGGCATTCGATTTTTCTCCGTCAACTCACAACCGATAATCCCTAACGAAAAACTTATACAAGAAGGCAACATAAAATACACATTTAGGAACAATAGAGTAGAGGAGTCACACATTGAAACACTGATGAGAAGCGGGAGAATCAAAACCAAATACAACATTAAAAAAGGCGTCACTACAATACAGTGTATATAGAGAAATAAGAACAGGCCTAAAAGAGGAACTGCAGATATATCCGACAGGAGAGACAAGAGCCGGCAAGCAATTTGGACTAAGTTCACGGGATCCACGATTGAACAGAACCGAAACAAAGATTTTACAACATAATGTCCTTGCCTGGACACAGATACGGAAAACAGATCTAACAAATGCACACAACACATTGTACACGGACATAATACTAATGAACTCACATGGGCGGAAAAACAGTGACAAAATCAAGATCTTTAACTACCATGTACTTCAAATGAACATACTGTACATGAAGAACCACATGACGGAATAGCAATAGCTATAAAACGCAACATACAATGCAAAATCATTGACAATTTTCAAAGTAACTTTCTTGCAGCAGAAATAAAAACAACAAGAGGCCCAATAACTATTGGAACTTCATATCTAAAATTCAGAAGGCCAATATTCCCTACAGGGGACATCTTAAAACTAATGAGGTAAAACAATCCAGCATACGTCATAGGAGACCTCAACGCTAAACACAACCTTAGGACACAATAATAGAAACCCAGGAAGAAAAATCCTCCATGCTCTCATCGAACACGGGACAACACACCTCGGGCCCGACTTCGCAACTTACGTATCAGCCGGTAACTCTGGGAAACCAGACATTGTTTTAACCAATAGGCATCACCATCTAAACGTACATCTAAAAGCTGGACCCACAACAACCAGTGATCATCTACCCATAATAGCAACTCTATCCACATCCCCGATACTAATTCCATCAATCCCAAGATTTTCACTCAAGAGAGTAAATTGGGAAAAATTTAAATCGGATCTTAGCAACAACGAACCAACACCACTACACAACAAAGACACAACAGAGATTGACAAAACACTGGACACATGGTACAATGAAGTAATAACAGCAATGAAAAACAACATCCCAAAAACAACATACCGTACATTACCACATGCACAATTAACATATGAAGAGAAAATGATCCAAACCAGATTCACCAATCTATATGAATACACAAAAACACACGGGTGGAACAATGACATCAGAATATTATACAGGAATATAAAAGAAGAGCTGAAAGTCATAAGCAAGAACAAATACAATGAAAAAATGGAACAAACTGATCTATGACACACAAGCAGACTACAGAAACCCAAAAGGCATTCTGGAAAAAAATAAAAAACGTAATGGGAACTAACTCGGAAGAAATTGGCTACACAAAGGACAAAAACGGTAGAAAGGCAACAGAACCACACGATAAAGAACCAATATTTAGAGAATACTGGAAAGACATATTCAGAATCAACGACGAAGACAGTAGAAGCTTCTGCCAAGAAACAGAACAGGCAACTAGAACATATTTGAGCCAGAACAGAGAAATGGAAACCTACTAGGAAAATCAACCTTAATTCATTAAATATTAATAACCCAATAATTGCTCCATTAACCCAAAATGATATTGAAAAAACAATAGCAAGCTTTAAGAACAAAGCACCTGGCATAAGCCAAATTAATAAAATCGTACTACAAAACGTTCCTGAGTCAATGATCGAACAGCTTAAAAATATATATAATGCCTCACTTGCAACTGGCTTCTTCCCTACCAAATTTAAAATAACCAAAATCAGACTCATCCCGAAAGTAGGAAAGAACCATACCCAAGCAGAGAACTACAGACCTATCTCACTACTGGAAACACCAAGTAAAATATTAGAAAAAAGTCAGCCACAGACTCAGAAATTATTTAGACCAAGAAAACAAACATAACCCGAGACAGCAAGGCTCTCGGAGAAATCGAGGAACCAACACAGCAATAGCACTAATATACGATTCAATTGCAAATGCTGCAAGTAACAGAGACCAATGTAATATAATTCTAAGAGATGTATCAAAAGCATTTGATAAGTCTGGCATGAAGGACTGAAGTTGAAAATAGTCAAACTGGACATGCCTACCAATATCACCACACTACTATGCAATTTTTTAGACAATAGAAAGGCCAAATTAATCATCGACAACCATCTAGGACAAACTTTCAACCTTCACAGTGGAGTTCCCCAAGGCAGTAATATATCGCCGACATTATACACTGTATACACAGCAGACATGCCGCAACCACGGCAATCAGAATAAGTAGCATATGCAGATGATGTCACACAGATAGTCAGGTACCCGGGAAAATCCAAACAATTGATGGCCATCAGAACAAGCAGAGAAATAGAGATAATAAACAACTATGAAAGAAAATGGAAATTAAAACCAATGTCCAAAAATTCAAAATAATTCACATCGCAAAAACAAATCCCTTCCCCATTATTGTCAACAACCAACAAATACCATATGCTGCCAACGGAAAAATATTAGAACTCAAGATAACCAGAAGCGGAATAATCCCCCACATCAATGAAAGAATAGCAATTGCAAAATCACAACTTACAAAGCTCAGAAGATTCCGCCAATTAAACACCAACACGCAACTTAACCTATACAAAGCACTGATCAGACCACACTTAGAATACCCTCCGATACCTCTGAACACAATCGCAAGAACAAACAAACTTAAATTTCAAGCAGTGCAAAATATAGCCCTCAGAAGAGCGGCAAAACACCAACCACCATACACACAAACAGCACAAGACATACACACAGAACACGGCATAGACCCACTCAACACCAGAAGACACACCCAAGCAAATGCAATATGGGAAAAAAATCCACCAAGAACAGGATCCCATACACATACTAAACCAACTAAATGAGGAAAACAACAACACATCACACAGATGGTGGCCTAGAATAAAAACTGATAACGAAGAACCAGAACCTTTATATACACAACAAAAAGAAGCAAAAGATGGGAACAACTCTCCAGTCACACAAGGACCTGGAGGGACCCCACAAACAAAGACCTCAAAAGATCACAAACACCCACAATAAAAACTAGAAACGAAAAAGATGGGGATCATCCCTCCAGTGCCACAACGACCTGGAGGGACACCCCCCCCCCCCCTAACATAATATGCCCCAAGAAACATAAAATAGAACAACTTAGTTTAGCTTGGCTGAGACCGGCCTTCCCCAACCGCATGAGTCCTCTAATGCAGCACTGTTGACGGAAGACAAAACCTCGTCTCCGCAAGGTGGATAGCCCACAACCTCCTCCTATATTTCCCACTTCTGAACTTTACCTTGTACGGTACCCTTCTTGCACCCTCAGAGCTAATGCTCTCTCCTCTCCGAATCACCGACCGACCTAATTCAGTTGCCTCTGAAGATGTCTTGAATAAAGACGAAAGCTAAGTTGCTCATTTGTTTCCCCTTTTCCCTGTGTGATTATATATATATATATATATATATATATATATATATATATATATATATATATATATATATATATATATATATATATATATATATATATATATATATATATATATATATATTTTTTTTTTTTTTCATTAGCCCAATAGCACGCGGACTTCTCATACAATACCTCAACCCGCCAGGATTCGAACCCACGGCCCACTAGCCCATGACTGTGACCATAGCGTTCCCGGTCACAGTCATGCTTGGGTCAACATATATATATATATATATATATATATATATATATATATATATATATATATATATATATATATATATATATATATATATATATATATATATATATATATATATATATATATATATATATATATATATATATATATATATATATATATATATATATATATATATATATATCATTCAATTGACACTTTCGACTAAATTTTTACAGCTAACAAAGTAACAAAAAATATGTAATGAAACTTTTTACAAGAAACAATATACTAAAGCAAAATAAGGTAATAAATTGGAGTAATATTTTCTCCCTTAATTTGAAGTAAGTTGTAATTTTCACGTCTCTAATATCGAGGTGTTTACGAGTGGAACAAGCTTAGCAACTTTGTAGTAAGTGCTGGAAAGTTTTAAAATGAGGCTAGATAGATTCATGGATGATAGAGAGTGGTAGTAACTCTCGACAGGAGCTGCCACGCACAGGCCAACCGGCCTATTGTAGACTCCTTATTTTCTTATGTTCTTAAGTTCTTATAACGAAGTAAAACACTGTAGGTCACCTTGGTACTTCCTGTGAACTAGACCTATGGTTAAAGATACAGTGTGTATATATATATATATATATATATATATATATATATATATATATATATATATATATATATATATATATATATATATATATATATATATATATATATATATATATATATATATGATTATAGTATGACCTAAACTTTCTAAACCTCCACAGGACCATATGGCTAAAAGCATAGTCTCCCCTCCACCTCCATCTTATTTCACATGAATATTAACTACCCTAATGCTATCTAGGGGTTAAGTTGGGTTAGGTGGTTAATCCCAAGGTGAAATAAGTGTGGTTGGGGGGGGAGGGGGGGCAATCTTCAGGTGGTCCGCATAGTCTTATAGTGTGTATGGACACCAGTTCTAAAAACTACTAGGCGAAATCTCGGACAGAACAGATGCGTTACGTAACAACACTAGACATACACCAGCTCTCCTGGACAGTATATGCTTTACAATGTTTATCATCATCTCAGAAACTCTTTCACCAGCCACTTTGTTTCCCATGAGCTACGATTATGATGTAATAATTTGTGAGTTGGGATTTCAATGTAACCAATTCTTTTTTAGGGGTTGTTTGGAGCAAATATCTTGCACTGCACTAAAATAGCCAACCAAAGTTAGTCTATTAGTTTACACAGAATAAAAAAATAAAAAATGACAATGGCGCTAGAGGTGGCACATATCACTCCCGGGGCAACACCAAAGCACAAGCTGTTGATAGCAAGGTCTGTAACCCCAGAGACCTTGGTTGAAAGAATCCTCAGGTATTGTACATTGGGTATTTCTTTCAATAAGACAATATTCATTGTTCATATGTTTACACCAGATTTACTGTTTATAATTAATAATAAAAAGCGTGAATTTTGTTTTCTAGTGTTTTTCATTTTAGATACGTTCACCAGTTATAGGAAACTCCCCCATCACACTCGATCTCTTCATACCGAACTCTTGCTTACTTGAAGATCTGGATGGAGCACATACAAAAGAAGTCACTAACGCCAGACTGGATGAGGAGGTAGCGCCCGAAGGCTGGAGAAGGGCTCACCAAAGTCACCAAGGCCTTGAGAGGAGCGGGTCCAGCATAGAAGGCGAAAATCGGATTGCTGAAGTAGTCACTTGAGTTTCCCAGTCGCACTGTTACGTCTTGGAAGAAGTGTTTCGTGTTTGCATCTTGACGTGTCAGTATCTTGATGGTGGACACCTGATAAGGAACACCCAAGTCGCCTTTCCAATAAGGTTCGACTGTGTTAATGGTCATGAAGCAGTAGTCGACAAAGAAACAGGTGTAGCCGTTGTACATCTGTTGGGAATTCCGATCGGAATTAAAGGTACTGGAGGATGAGGAGTTTGCAATGGAGAGTGCTATGTCTCTAGGATCATGAGAAGAGGCGAAGCACCTCTGAAAGGGTATTCCAGTTAACAGCGTTTTACCGTTCCACGCCTGTGTCACCATCGCATTGTAGAGTGTACACACCAGATCTGCCAAGTAAAATATAAACAATATACATTGAAAGAAGTTCTCTATTACTTTTATTACAAACTCGGATCATATGAGGATTAGACCCCAGCTTATTTCATCTGATGATTAAACACCCAAACGGTACGTAGGTTAAATTAGGTTAGATTACTTTAGAGTAGGTTAATTTGGGTTAGCATTAGGATGGTTAATCTTCAGGTGAAAGAGGCTGGGGGATTATCTTAAACCCCATCATCCAAACACCAGAGACATTTTGCACAGGATGTATGTCTGTTGATGACGAGCCCGACAGTATTGACAATGACTTGGTTCACGTCATCAGTCTATCCATTATTCAGTACTCTGCACACCTGTATGGTCTTAGGTTGCTTAAAGTGACTACCAGTGCTGGATTACTCCTCAAGGAAGGTCTTCGTGGTCTGTATCTAACTAGGGTGTAAGCCTCCCACAGTCTTACCCTCCTTCTTTGGTCGTTAAACCATACTACTGGTGTCGTTAAACATACTACTGGGGTCGTCAAACATACTACTGTGTCGTCAAACATACTACTGGTGTCGATAAACATACTACTGGGGTCGTCAAACATACTACTGGGGTCGTTAAACATACTCCTGAGGTCGTTAAAACATGCTACTGTGGTCGTTAAAATATACTACTGAGGTCGTTAAAACATACTACAAAGTACTGTGGTCGTTAAACATACTAATGAGGTCGTTAAAACATACTACTGGGGTCGTTAAACACACTAATGAGGTTGTTAAACACAATACTTGGGTTAATAAGAGGAAGATGGTGTGTGTGTGTGTGTGGATGTGGGTGTGTGTGGATGTGGATGTGGGTGTGTGTGGATGTGGGTGTGTGTGGATGTGGGTGTGTGGGGATGTGGGTGTGTGGGTGTGTGGATGTGGGTGTGTGGATGTGGGTGTGTGGATGTGGGTGTGTGGATGTGGGTGTGTGTAAACATATTAAGTGGCAACATGTGAAAGTAAACAAGAGAGAAAACATGACAAACAATAATACGAAGAGTCACCTTGAAGGCAGTAGAGGGAGCACCCAGGTGTGTTCTGACAGTGGAGGGCGCACCTTATTGGTTCTCGTGTATTCAGGGTAACTTTCTGCAGGAGACATCTGCTCGTAATGTCGTGAGGAAACGTCGAGTTCACCTGCAATCAATAACTGGAGAAAGTTGACAGAAAAAAAATAAGAAAAGTAAAAGTCGTGTGAAGGAAATGTTAAAACAAAAAGAAAAAAGAAAAATTACGAATTCAAATGGAACTTGAATATGATCGTTTAACTACAACTGCATGCATGTAATGGCCCCTGTCTCATCAACAGAAGTATTATATAAATGGGTTACTTATATCTGATTTATATTCAGATTCATCCCCTGAAACTTTCCACTGGCTATGAGGTGACATGTTCAATGCACGTGATAAGGTGTGCCCACGGGAAGCTGCGTCATACTATGCTGAGTAAAGGCATAAGTAGCCGGCTCTCTGGCCACCTGAAGCGAGCAGTAGTTTGATATCCTTGACTAGAGGAAGACGTTATTTGAGAGCCGCAGTGGATGGCTCCGTCTTCCCTCGAGGGGGAACGACGTACCTATTCCGTTCTCCCTCGATGGGTCACTACTCATAGTCACTCACACCAACTAATATCGAACGGACGTTGATTCACGTTTATATACATAAACGCAGTCCCTTTCTCATCATACTCATAAATAGTGGAACTTGCGGTTGATCTACACTCAGGAATTATATAAACATAATACTTTTCTAATAAAACAAGGAACTTCAATTGGGTTTCGTTACTAAAGCCCAATATATGTGAACCAACCTGGTTAATTGGGAATTAACCAACCGGTTCTCTCTCTCTCTAAGAAAACATTATTACCTCATAGTACAAGGCGGAGTCAAGGAGGACGGTGGCCGAGGCTGCGACCGCCACCATCACCACACGAGCCGCCGTCCATCTCAATACCTGAAAAATTAGTAAAAAAACCTTAGTATAACGTCTGAATCATCGTTAAAATATGTTAAATAACACCTACCACTAACTGGATCTGCCACACCTACCCTACTGATGAGTAACTCCCACCCCATTCATGGGTAAGGTCTACCCTATTCATGAGTAGCCCCACCCCATTCATGAGTAAGGTTCACCCTATTCGTGAGTAAGGTCCACCCCATTCGTGAGTAAGGTCCACCCCATTCATGAGAAGCTCCCCACCCCATTCATGAGTAAGGTCCACCCTATTCGTGAGTAAGGTCCACCCCATTCATGAGTAAGGTCCACCCTATTCGTGAGTAAGGTCCACCCCATTCATGAGTAAGGTCCACCCTATTCGTGAGTAAGGTCCACCCCATTCATGAGTAAGGTCCACCCCATTCATGAGAAGCTCCCCACCCCATTCATGAGTAGTCCCCCTCCCCAGAGTATTAAGTTTTATATCTAGAAGTGTAAGTAATAAGAGTGCAGAGGTCTTATTGCAACTATATCTTGCGCTAGTCAGGCCGCACCTCGAATATGCGGTTCAGTTCTGGTGCCCTTATTATAGAATGGATATCAATTCACTGGAGACGGTGCAGCGAAGAATTACGAAAATGATTCCGGGACTTAGAAACCTTCCATATCAAGATAGATTAAAGAAACTAAACTTGCATTCCCTAGAAAGACAAAGAGTGCAGGGAGATATGATAGAAGTATTTAAGTGGGGTGAAAGGAATCAATGAAGGAGATATAGATAAAGTTCTTATAATATCCGAGCAGGACAGGACTCATAGCAACGGATTTAAGTTGGATAAATTTAGGTTTAGGGGGGAGATAGGAAGGAACTGGCTCACAAATAGGGTGGTGGACGAGAGGAACAAGCTTAGCAACTTTGTAGGTTTAGGGGGGAGATAGGAAGGAACTGGCTCACAAATAGGGTGGTGGACGAGTGGAACAAGCTTAGCAACTTTGTAGTAAGTGCTGGAACGCTGGAAAGCCTTAAAAGGAGGCTAGATAGATTCATGGATGATAGAGAGTGGTAGTAACTCTCGACAGGAGCTGCCATGCACAGGCCAACCGGCCTATTGCAGATTCCTTGTTTTCTTATGAGTAGCCCCCACCCCATTCAAGTATAACTTTTCCGAGGAGATTGATTGAATTTCTCACCTTGTAAGTCATAGTTAGATTTCTCAGCTGGCGACAGTGGGAGACAGCAGGAGTGGCAGGTGTGTGTTTGGTCACCGACGGTGATCTAATGACGAATGACTAACCGACTACTGCATATCTTGCTACTGTAACACTGTGGCTCCGATTCATACCTCGCGCTTAAGCTGTACGCTCGCCGATTGGTTCCTTACGCCTCGATGTCACGGAAACCCCACCTGGGCCATACTGGGATTGGTTACTTTGCACACGACGTATACAGACACAGCTCCCAATTGCGCACGTCTGTTTTCAATATACATTACTGAAATTGTCAAGGTGCGTGTTAAGGTGCGTGTAGGTAAACTCATTGTTTGATGATTGATGGTGAAATTTTGATCTTATAAATTGCAGCAAGCAAACATTGACAGAACCATTTATTTGTGTTTAAGCATTAACATTTGTAACACTTCATCTACACTTTGAATTTTAATCCATAAACCTGTTTTAGTTATTTGTCGTTTTACTACTATGTTCCTGACATTCACAGCAGTAGTATTTAGATTTATTAACAGTTTAGAATGAACTAAGTCAATTCTTTTATTATCAATCTTCACTTTTCGAAGAATTGTTCAAAGTACAATAATATACACGGTTCAATGGACTGTGTGTTTAATTGATACTACAAGGCTGACCTGTGACATGGTCGTAGTCTCATGGTTTATAACGATGGGAAAAATCCTACTGACAATACAGACAACGACAATGTACTGGGCAGTTACGGGAACTTACTGAAATGTCATCCATCAAAATGTATTAAAGCCATCCATACCATCCTTTTGATAATAACAAATACGTAAACCGACTCCCTGGTTAAGCTGTTACATTCCCGACGGCTCTTCTGACTCCTTAAATAGAAAACCTTGTGAATTTTTGATGACTGACGTTTGTTTAATACATTTTAGAGTTTAGACCATCACCGATAATAAGAAGTCATGGAGCGACATCTAATGGATACTGACCCACAAAACGCTCCGTGAAGTAATATTGTTTCGGTTTGTTATACTGTATAACTTTATTGTCTAGGTTTTGACTAAGAATGAGTTCGGAACCAACAGTTTTAGAAAGTGGAGAGTTAATCTATTATCACGTAAAGAATAAGTACCCCAACTAATTTCACCAAACCTAAAAAACCCAATCTTCATGGGATCTCAAATTTCTATTGACTTCCCCTGAAGTTTAGACAGCCCATTGTATTTTACCTGAGGATTAGACACCCCGCCCCATGAAGAAACAGAATACTGTATGGTGCACGACCACTAACTCGTCAACCTCCTTACCAAATTTCAAGTCTTGTTTTCAAATCTGGTTAAGTGATGGTGATGGACAGCTCCGCACACCCCTTGTGAAGAGACATGAAATAGAACATTTTGAATTTTGGGTGGAAAATTTTGATTTTTTTTTTTGGAAAGATTTGGAAAATTTTGGATGTTTTTTAACATACATATATATTATATATATATATATATATATATATATATATATATATATATATATATATATATATATATATATATATATATAATATATATATATATATATCATTTATTTATTTTTTTTAAAGTGGATTAGCCCTCCCAGGCAAAGGTCACTGACCCACATGAAGCCCTGGAAGGTAATAATAATAATAATAATAATAATAATAATAATAATAATAATAATAATAATAATTCATAGTAAATTAAATATATATATATATATATATATATATATATATATATATAAATAAATGCATATATACCTAATATATATAAATGCATATACACCTAATATATATAAATGCATATACGCCTAATATATATAAATGCATATACACCTAGTATACAGTATATACATGCATACACGCCTGATATATATATATATATATATATATATATATATATATATATATATATATATATATATATATATATATATATATATATACATACTTTTACTTACTTTTATCCTCTTCACCACTGATCGGTTCGTCAGCCGCTTGGGCGATCGGTCACGTCTCTGTTACGCCCTGTTGGCAAGTACTGGGCATGCACCGGCTCCTGAATGTACCTGAACCTGCAATATAAATACATAAATTCATATACACATTATATAAATACATATACACATATATAAAAATACATATACACATAATCTATATAAATACATATACACAATCTTCTTTCACCCCTCCTTCCTCACAAAAAAAAATTCCCTGAGTAACATACTGTGCCAGGGCCGGATTCAGGAGTGGGCAAAGTGGGCAGCTGCCCAGGGGCCAAAACAATCTGGGGGCTTCCAGCCCTCCACATGTGCGGTAGTAGCTATATCAGGGCTGGTCGACTTGAAACCACATGAATGACTCCAGTCATGTCTCAATTTTGTGTGTGTGTGTGTGTGTTGGAAATTTGTACACTATCAATAAATATACAGTCAATAAAAAAATCTCAATGTTTTAATTTCCTCAATATAACTGCATATGGCTTCAAAATTCTCCAAAGAAGTGTTCAAATTTCAAAATTTTCCCGGGGGCTTGCAGCGCCTCCCGGAACTCCCAGATTTTTTATTTTTATTTTTTTTTTTAGGCTCGCTTCACTCGCCACCCCACCCTCTTGGGTAGTTATAATGAGGGGGCCTCCACAAAGAGGCTGCCCAGGGGCCTCCACAGGTCTAAATCCGGTACTGTACTGTACATTATTATAGCTTACAAAGGAATGATAGCTATACAAAATAACATAGTATACTTCAACTGATTTGGAAGACCTATGATTTAACACACTCGGGGTACTGTTGTTTCATCTTCGTCACTTGTCCGCTTATTAACTGGTTACGAAATCCAGCCCAATTATTTCAACGAAAAATAAAGGAATTATATTATAAAAGAAAACGTACCATATGTCTGTAGTTCAAGCGACCCGTTGAACAATAACACAAACAAGGTAATTGATGAAAGCCTTCGTTTAAACTGTTCATATAGTAAAATAAGAACAAGTTGCAATATAACTTGTGAGCTGTGTTCTGGCATGAATTTATTTTTAGAATGGTAAAACTGGTAAAGGTCAAGTCTCTGACCATAATCCTAATGGTAATTAAGCCTCGGTTTTCCCGAATGTTTTTGATGTTTTATTCGATTTTAATATTGATATTCGTCGGAAATCACTTTTGTTTAGACAGCCCCCCTCCCTCCCCCAAGCCAAAACAAGTGATTTCCGACGAAAATCAATATCAAAATCGAATAAAACACATCAAAAACTATCGGAAAAACCGAGGCTTCATCTCCAGAATAATTTTGAGACAACCTAACCTAACCTAACCTAATTTAACTTGAGCCGTGACGTCACAGGGATAAGATGAAAAATAACTTACAATTTTTAAGGTAAACACACACCCCATCTCAGTTATTATTAATTTGCGACAGAAATATCATTGAAGAAATGTCGTCTAATTTGAAGAGTTAGACCCAAAAAACACACCAAAATAATTGTAGCTAATTATAGTCCGAAACTTAAATACTACTGTAAAACCAAAGGTAATTATTAAGATTACTAGTGCTGTTTTATCTTAAAGAATTTCACCTTCCCACACAGAAAATTGCCATGGAGTTTAGGGTGACCACAATGTCTGGTCACTCCTGTGTACCTTAGAATTCGTCGATAAAGGTGGAGAACACGGTTAGCATATTATACGAAGTACTTGCTTTGATATCTGGTACCAATGAAGGTAAAATTTTAGTTTTAGCCATCCCTATATTTTTCCGATGGTTTTTAACGGGTTTTGAATGGTTTAGAACTTACCTAACCTAACCTAGCCACAGAACCCAGGAACTATATCTAACCTAACCTAAATTCCTAAGATTCCCTGGATGACCAAAATTGAAAGAACACCCCAATAATACAGTTTTCTTCAAGCGGCATTGTCTTATTTTACACTTCCCAGTTGTTGCACTGAATCACACATTTCTTCTTCACTGCCACATTTTGAACACTTGCACATCCCTCCAACTAGTCCATGTTGACAGATGAACTCTTGGGGATAATCTTCATCCTCCAAAGCACATAACTTGTGATATGATAAAGAACAATCCCACACAAGATGCCATAACTATTTAGTTAAATTCAAGATGGCTTTCTTGTCTCCCCTTGTGGAAGAACAATAAGTACAGTATAGGAACATACAGTCCACTCAGAAACCAATTATATTCCAAAGAATTTGGAAATGTATCTAAACCTATATAATGGTATTTAAATCCAACTAATATACACAGGAAGCTTTCATCTCAGATATCACACCTTTGTTCTGTATCATACTGTACAGTATAGTATGCACTTCATTCCAGGTGAGGGAGTTAGCTTGGATGTGTAGAATACTGTGTTCGTTTGTGAAATAGAAGCAACAAGCATAAATATAATGAAATTTGTATTCTGTATGAAAGTAATTGTAATGTTATGTCATAAAGGGTAATGTAGATTATTAGAGACTTTCAGGAACTAAATACAGTACAGTTTTAAACACATTTTTACTCATACATTACTCTCCTAACACTATTCTAATTTGTAAAATATTCTGTTGCTCTGTATTTGTTACCTAACCTAAACCATGATATTTCAGGATGAAAATTCTTCAGCATTTATGGAAGTATCACCAAAGAGGAGTGATCTTTGCAGATTTAAGGTACCTGAATACCTACAGCACTGAAAAATTCCCAAGTTCAGAAGAAAAGCTTTCACATGCTTATTTACCAAAGTCATATTTAAATACGGGATCTGTATATGTTCACTGGCCATATTGCAGACAGAGGTGTTCATATTGCAATTTTGTCAAGTTTATCCCCCACCCAAATTCACATTGGACTATTCAAGATAACATACTTGAAGATGCCATGGTAAGTAAAATATTTTTAAGTGATGTATTCATACTTAACTGTAGATCTTAAAACATTACTGTCCAAATGAACCCTATTGGACAAGCCTTCAAGTTTTATTGAAGTCTTGTAAACTATTATGTTACATTTTACATTATGGATGTTGTTGGATGTTCTTTATGCATCTTTTAACATGAAGACGAAAATGGTGTGAGGGTGAATGATTAATATATATTAATGCAGTGTTTCCATACCATATAACTTATCTTCTTTTATTTACCGGTATATTGAAAACTTGAATATTTGCCATCTAGATGACAAAATAAATTTTTACAGGTTAAGGAGTTACAGCACAACCTTCAGCACTCACACATTTCTTCTGTACAATCCGTCTTTTTTGGTGGTGGTACACCGTCCCTTGCAAGACCACATATGGTTGAGGTAAGAAAGAATCAGTTGGTAACAATACAGTACACATACTGTACTTGTTTTATGAGTCACAGGTTATTGAAAAAGTACTGTGAGATAGCCCCATCAGAACACCAACAGGGAAACCCAACACTGGTCTGGGGCTATGTGCATTGTGAAAGAAGGCCAACTCTTCTGTTGGATGAATGTAATCGACTCCATAATAGTTACTTCCTCAACCAAACCAGGAATTTTAAAGCAAGCTCTGACTTTGATATAATATTAACTACAAAAGTTTGTTAGTTAAACTAAAAGGTAGACTGTCTTGAACCTTGTAATATACTGTACTGCACTAGAATCTCTGTCTTAAACATTGGTCTCAAACGTTGGGCCTCACATTTTTACCTGCCCCTTTCTTTTGTCAAAACTGTTGACTGTAATCTGCAGAATTCCACAATACAGATATTTCATCTCTACAGTATACCAAAATTATTGGTAAGCAGCTAGTTTAGTACAGTACAGGGAGTTTTTTGGTATAAAATAAATTAAAAAAACTCATCCAATGCCAAACTTTGTTAGGTATACAGCATATGAAGAAGTTCAGTATTTTTAGTTGATAAATTGTGAGCGGAATTTTCTGCTGAGCCCAACCAACTCCAACTGCCTTTCCTACCCCCCTTCTACACACACAGAATTAACTTTCCACTAGAGGAAAGACTAATTATGGTGATTCATATTTAAAATCCTGGTTAATTTAGGACCGGATTCAATTTACATAACCGGTGACTACAGATAGGGGAAATACCCCAGAAATTTCGTCGATACCCTGGAGATCCGACGATGAGGGGAGAAGCGGCAGAGCTGTTTTGAGTTTGGAGGGTGGTGGCGTGGCGAGAATTTTTGCCACGAGAAGGCTCTGCGCAATGTCGCCTATTCCCACCTTTCTGCACTTATTTACATTTATTTTTCGTTATTTCCAACTTCATGTATCATTTAAACATACCTAAAATAACCCCCGCTTGATGTGCTGTGATAAGGCAAAATATGAGTGGTGATGGATCAGCAAATATTAGTAGACGACATTTTTTTTTCCGACTTAGTGTTACACAATCATGCCCCAGTGATAGTTCCTTTTGTGCTGTCCCATTTAGGGGCAGCTTGATGTGATGTACAGTAATAAGGCATAAGAATGGTGATGGACCAGCAAAGGTTGGTAGAGACCTGAACTTTCCACCCTAAACACAGGTAAATAAGTCAATTTATGCTTTACATTTCCTATTTAATGCTTCTTATGCTTGCTTTATATGTCTGCTTTATTTTCTTGCTCGACAGTGTCCACTACAGAGATATATCAAGGGTAGATGAGTTTTATGGAGGGTGGCTGGTTCCTAACCCCCTGAATTTGTTATACGCTGTATTCTAATGGGATTAATTACAGTACTTTGATAACCGTTGATTCACTAACCAACAATTTTTCACGGTTCCTATATGCGTTGATTATCAGGGTATCCCAGTGAAATAAAATTACCGGTACACTTTCACTTAATTAATAACTCATACTGTACAGTATTGTCCGAATATTAATTTAAAAAAAAAATCTTACATACAGACCTTTCAGGGTTAACAAGTTACTTTCATATTCTTATGTAGAGAAATGACGCTATGTTTGTACGTGTGCATACGTACATACATTGGCCTTTTTCCGTTCTCACTTTTTTCTTTACCCTCAATGGTTACTTCTATTGTTCCGTTAACATTAAATAACAGTACAGTACTGTACTGTAATAATTTTTTTTTTACATTACTGGTAATTTTACTACAGCTACAGCCAGCGTCTTATCTTTCTCGGTTTCAGATGGCGAACCATCGTCATGTGTAAAAACACTGACAACAACAATGGTGTCCCGCCTCCTCTCGTGTTTTAAGTGACTACATGTACAATTATTATTTGTGAATTGTATTCATTTTGCATACATACACATTAATTCAGTAATACAAGAGGTCCCCGGGTTATGAACGGGTTCCGTTCCTGAGGACATTCGTAAGTCGGATTTGTACTGTACTTAAGTCGGAACACATACTATATATCCCGACTGTACTTAGAAAACAATGTTTAAAATCCCATTATATCATAGCCTAAGTCATTATATACATCTAAACTCACTTAATTTAAGAGAAAAGAAGAAATAGAATGACAAAATACACTAAATGAAAGTAAAAAATAAATCATCACGTAAATAAAATACTGAAAATTTCAAGTTTAACCCCATTCGTATCGGCGGGCGTTCGTAATGTGAGAAATGACGATATGTTTTTGTGTTCATACATACTCTGGGCTTCCACCCACAACTGAGTTCTTTATCACTAATAAATAGTGAATTGTATGGTATTGCATAAGTTGCATTAATAAACATTAATTAAAGTAGTGAATCCCTTTTAGCTGGAATAATTGGTGTAGAGCTCTCTGGAATTTTTTCAGGTACTGGGAAGTTTCCTTGAATCTAAATTGTGTATTTTGCATGGACAGACACTATTGCATATCCCTAGAATGTTTCCGGGGTTCTTGAGAAAGTTTTCCAAGGTTCTAAACTATGCATCAATGCTGGAGAATGTTTTCCAAGAATCTTGCACAGACAAACACAGCTGTATTTATTTATGCAAACGCCACTGTACATGTACAGTAATGTATATTGTAAATACTGCAATCAAAAAACATTACACAATCTAGATAAACAAAATAAAATATAGAGTACTCACCAGCATGCTGTGATGCAGGCAGGCCAAATGGTGACACAGGTATGATACAGGTTGACCTGCTTTGTACTGTACAATCTGCTGTGACAGGTGGTGCTAACTGTCACTGTCTTCTCCCTCCATGAAGGACAGAGGCAAGTCAAGAATGACATGTCTTAACACTGTTTCAACACTATTCTTGGCCAATTGTGTCCTGGTATAGTAATGTACAGTACTGTACAATGGAAATATATGTACAAACACTAGTGAGCAAGAAATGAACCTTGTTGAATGGTTGCAGGCAATGAACTAAGTGTGCCCTGATTCATACTAGGCTTGGGGGGATAATCTGGGAGATACATTAGCCTATCACAGGCATCCCATGCAGTCACATGACAGCTACTCACCCAGCACTTGAGGACCTGGGAGCATGATGCAATCTTTCATCACTCCCAAAGAACCTTTGTCCCCAGGTCCGAAGCAGAAAAGTTTGCAGAGATTTTCTTGCCATTTTCTCAGATTTTTTTCCGGAAATTCCACATTATTTCATCCTTGGAATTTGTTCTGATACCCAAAACAAAAAATGAGGGAGAGTTTCCAGAATATTTCAGAATTACACATAATTTCATCCTTGGAATTTGCTCCCAGACCCAGAAAAAAAAATTAGAGAAAGTTTCTTTAAGTCTCGGATTATTCCAGAAACTGTGCATTACAGTACAGTACACTATAAATTATTTTGGTAGGAATTTGTTCCCAAACCCGGAAAACAAAATTGGGAAGAGATTTTTCCATAATTTTCTCAGAAAATGAACCAGATTTTCAACCTCGGAAACTCGTTCACAGACACAGAACGAAGAGAGTTTCCCTGGAAAAATTCCAAGCCGATTTCAATTCCAGGTATTGGAAAGTTTTGGCTACTATGGATTCTGGCTAATGGTGAAATTCAGAGCCGATTTCAATTTCGAGTATTGGAGAGTTCTGGCTAACAGGATTCCGGATAATGGGGAGTTTACGGTTTATAGTTTTTATTTTCCATTTATTTGACCGTTTTGGGGGAAAAGGGATAAAATGCCACACAAAAGATGTGAAAAGAACACACTAAGGACTGCACCCATTATTATTGCTTTATTTTAATGGTAATTAATGATTTACTATACGACGATTCAACTTAAAGCCATATTGAAGGACACATTCCTGTCGTAACTCGAGGCTTTATTGTACTGTACTAATTTTTCATATTTTATAGTTTTATATTATGTTTTCTTTATTTCTAAGTCACATTAGGGAGTTGTAGTACAATATTATACAGTACAGTATAGTCTTCACTTACGCTATCAATTGAACCCGTGGAGTTCCGCGTAAAACGAGAAACGCATAAACAAAATAACAGAACATATGGGATTAATTGAAATAGAGACTGGGCCAACCCTCAAACTACACTTTTTCCGACACTATACGTACGTTGTAGTAAAAATAACATCTTAATTTTATGATGGTATGCACACACAATTAATATTTAAGAGAAATATCAACAATATTAGGTTTTTTAACACTTACGTTAGTGGAAAAGATGGCTGGGCACACGGGGATGGGGGGTTGGTTCCGAGGCAGAGGACAGATTATTGGTGCTCACCTGTATCACTTGTATCAATTGTATCACTATCCACCACAGAGGCTTGCAGGGCCTCTTTGTCAAACCCCTCAAAGTCCATATCCTCACTATCACTGACTTGGGCCAGCTGTGGTGGGTGGCGGGTGAAGAACTCGGTAATGTTTTGTTGACTGGGCGACCTTGTGCGCACCCTGCCCGTGCCGCTTCCCGCGGAAATGATGGAATGAACCGTGTAAATAAAAATTGTCGGTCTGGTAAGCTGCCGTGTAAATGACCAAACGTGAAAACCAAATCCGTGTAAATCGAGACTATACAGGTACTGTATCTGAATACCTGTTTTTAAAATATTTAACAAGGGGTTCAGTAAAATATAGTTTGGTAACACACATCTTTAATAAACACTAAGTACCATACATAATACTGTACATAATGTTTTATTGAATAAAGAAGACAGGTAATGGATTATTGTAATTATATTGGAAAACATAATTGCCCCCTTAGGGTCTTCTGATCACAACCTTATTTCTATTAAATCAAACTGGGCACGACCACCTCCCCCACCCCCCTCTAAACGTCAACTATGGCACTATCGGAGGGCAAGCTGGCAATCCTTGCGAGAATTCTTCACCGACTTTCCTTGGGATGAATGTTGCTTTTCCACTCGGGATGCCTCAGTATGTGCTGACAGCATTGCTGGGGTTATACAGAGTGGTATGAGTGCAATTATCCCATCTTCTACCAAAACTTTCACATTACAATTTTGGTTTGATCGCTCCTGCTCTCTTGCTTGCAGGGTGAGAGATAGGGCATATCGAGCTATGAAACTATCTCCTCCTATTACCCACACTTCTTTCATTACTTCTAGGAATCGTTGTAAGGCTATTCTTCGTAGGGCCAAGCGGAATTTTATTAAAAGAAAGACCGCTGTCCTGACTAATTCTTCCTCTAGTAAATCCTTCTGGTCCTTAACTAAAAACATCTGTAACAACTTCTGCACTCCTTCTTTTCCTCCCCTTTTCCGTCCCAATAACTCTATAGCCAACTCTCCCCCTGACAAAGCCAACCTCTTTGGCACCTTATTCTCCTCTAATTCCACCTTAAACGATTCCCACTCTATCCCTCCTACCCCTGCACCTCCTACTGAACCTATGCACTTTCCTATAATCTCCACTAGCAGGGTTGCCGGTGTGTTATCCAGGTTGGATGTGAGTAAGGCGCATGGACCGGACGGAATACCCCCTCGTGTTCTGAGGGAGTGTGCTGAAGCCCTGGCCCCTGTACTTGCTCGCCTCTTTCACCTTTGCCTCAAAACCAAAACTTTTCCTTCTTCTTGGAAGCATGCCTTGGTTCAGCCCATCCCGAAGAAGGGTGACCATTCTAACCCCTCTAACTATCGCCCCATTGCCCTAACTTCATCCCTTTCCAAGATTTTCTAAACTATCTTGAACTCCCATTTTCTCCGTCACCTTGAACGCCTTTCTCTTTTGTCAGATCACCAGTATGGCTTTCGCCGTGCGAGATCTACTGGTGATCTGCTCTCCTATTGCACCCATCTTTGGTCATCCTCTCTTAGGGACTATGGAGAAACTTTTGTCGTGGCCCTCGACATCTCCAAAGCATTTGACAGGGTATGGCACAAGTCTTTGCTATCTAAACTTCCCCCTTTTGGTTTCTCTTCCCCACTTTGTTCTCTCATCTCTAGCTTCCTTGAGAACCGATCCATGGCAGCTGTTGTCAATGGATCGATTTCTCGCTCTTTCTCTACCAATAGTGGCGTCCCACAGGGTTCTGTTCTTTCACCAACTCTCTTCCTTCTTTTTATTAATGATTTACTTCACACTACAACTAATTCTATCCATTCTTACGCCGATGATTCCACTCTTCACTCTTCCTCACATTTTCCCCTTCCTCCTAACTCTCAAACTAGATCTGTTTCTAGAACTGATATCATTACTTCTATCAATGCGGATCTGTGCAGCATCTCTGAATGGAGAGATACAAACTTGGTCAAGTTCAATAGTAACAAAACACAATATTTACCATTTACACTTTGTAAATTAGACGATCTCCCACCAATTACATTTCAGGACGCTATCATCCTCCCAAATTCTGAAATAAATATATTAGGCCTCACCATTTCCTCCAATATGTCCTGGAAATCACACATCCTTAGTTTAACTAAAGCTGCCTCCCGAAAGTTGGGAATGCTGTACCGATGCCGCAACTACTTCACTCCTGAACAGTTGCTCCAAGTATATAAGGGATTCATTCGTCCTAACTTGGAGTACTGCTCTCATATCTGGGGTGGCTCTTCTTCTGTCCAACTATTAGATAGGGTGGAATCAAAGGCATTTAGTCTTATTAACTCTCCTCCTTTAGTCGACAATCTCTCTTCCCTTTCTCTTCGCCGCAATGTTGCTTCACTCTCTCTCTTTTACAGGTACTTTAATGGGCAATGTTCAGTGGATTTGGCATCCTGTGTACCGCCAGCAAGGCCGTGGGTTCATAACACACGTCTTGCCCGCGGTGCCCACCGTTTCTCCGTGGATGTCGGTCACACGAGAATAACCCGTTATAGTACCTCCTCCTTTCCTCACACAGCCAAACTGTGGAATGCTCTGCCTTCTTCTGTGTTTCCATGCTCTTACAATCTGTCTCACTTTAAAAAGCTGGTTTTCCGGCATCTTCGTGGTGTAGATTAATACAGTACAGTATTACCCCTCTTTACACGGTTTCACTTTCCGCGATTTCGCGATTTCTCATTTACGTGGTACCTTGCCAGAACCGGACTTTCACTTTCCGTGGTGCATCTACTCATATACGCGTGAAGTATAATTTTTTTTTATTTTATTTAGCTCATAAAATTCATACAAATTACCCGGCCAGAATATAATTTACATTGCTGGAATTCTTACAATATGATGATCATTTTGAATATAAACATCATGGATTTTGCATTTGACATACAAATTTTAGATCTAATTTAATAATTTGGTTTACACAAAGCAAGTATTTTATCTTTTGTGCAAAATATATGAAGTTTACATTCAAAATATTCCCTGACCTGCAAGGAATCCAGAAATGTCAATTATATTATCCTAACTTTAGTCTGAGGTATTATTTATTACTAAAAGTTAAAATCTAGTTTTTCACCCAACATTTCTCTGGTAGGGAGGGAAAGTTGGGGGTGGGGGGAGGGTTGGGACCGACCGACCATCTGGCACGGTTGGAAGAGGGGGGAGGCAAGTTGGGGTACTTTGATTGACAGATAGTGTCGTGAAGAATATTTTTTTTTTTTATAAACTGAAGATATTTGTTTTAGCTCATAAAATTCATACAAATTACTGGACCAGAATATAATTTACATTGCTGGAATTCTTACAATATGATGATCATTTTGAATATAAACATCATGGATTTTGCATTAGACATACAAATTTTAGATCTAATGTAATAATTTGGTTTACACAAAGCAAGTATTTTATCTTTTGTGCAAAATATATGAAGTTTACATTCAAAATATTCCCTGACCTGCAAGGAATCCAGAAATGTCAATTATATTATCCTAACTTTAGTCTGAGGTATTATTTATTACTAAACGTTAAAATCTAGTGTTTCACCCAATCATTTCTCAGAGAGGTAGGGGCCAGTGAGCTGGGAAGAGGGGGGAGGGGGATTTGAGTCCATTATTTGAATGGACATTATCCTGGCGACTGTATTTCTCTTAAATATTAATTGTGTGAGCATACCATCATAAAATTTAGATGTTATTTTTACTACAACATAGGTATTGTGTCGGGAAAAAGTGGAGTTTGGGGGTCGGGCCAGTCTCCATTGGAATTAATCCCATATGTTCTGTTGTTCACTTTCCGCGGTACCCTGTGGGTTCAATTGACCGTGTAAATCGGGTACTACTGTATAACCTTTTTTTCTATTTTTACAATTTCTTTCCGTTCTTCCCCAGGCTCCGTTGTGGGTCATTTGACCTGTGCCCAGGTGGGCTAATTCCCGTAAAAAAAAAAAAAACTGTATATATTTCCATATGAACAGGTGATAGGTCAGATTATTAACTTGCAGGAAGTATAAATTTAAATATTAAAGCTTTTATTTTTGCTTTACAGAAAGTCTTGGCAGCAATTGAGGAAGTATGTCATTTAGAAGAAAATGCTGAAATAACACTTGAAGGAAATCCTACTTCCTTAGAAACAAAGAAGCTGAAAGACTTCAGAGCTGTTAAGGGCATCAATAGGGTTTCCATTGGTGTACAGGTATGAATATTGCATCAAAAGTTTGGTTTTGTTCTTTATACTGTTGTCATATAAGTCTCTAGACAAATTTTTTCATCCAGTACAAATCAATGATAATATTTTTGATTGCAGGTTTCATGTTTGGCTCAGACTAAATCACTGACCTATGTTCATCCATAAGCTTCTTTATCTGTAAACAGTGGTCACATATACGAGATCTTATTTGTTGACTGAACTAGATTTTACAAAATTAAATAAAAAAAGTAGGTAATACAGTACTTCCTAAGTATAATAGATTCCTCGGGAGATAATTTGATATGGCGATTCTAAGGAAGAAAGATGGGAGTCTTCACTGTCACACATAACATACATACGGTAGCTGTATTAGGGTTTCTTGGTACCCCATCTTAAATTTCTTTTTATGGGTTAGCATTCATTCTTCACCTTATTGGAAAGGAAGCAGTTTGTAAATTTGCAGTTACAGTATAACTGTGTAAAGAGTGACGGGTGTATTAGAGTTGTTAATAGGTATTGATTGTCCTCTGGCTTTTTCTTTTTAAAGTTTGCTATATTGAGAGACAGTTCCAAAAGTGAAGGGTTCATCATCTTATAATACATTGGTTTGTAACATTTTTTGTGTGATAGTGACACTTGTAAGTTGTGCTTTAGATGACAGGACAGCAGTAATAAGAGATACTATCCCTTGCCTACTAGCACTGCTAAGCATTAATGGCAGACACCAGGATCAACCCCTCGGCTTCAAGTCACCAGAGAATGGAAGCTAAGACACTCACTTGTCACAGAGTTTGACTATATCCTTTAAACAACATCTGATCCAATACCACCAGTCTGATTTAGCTCATATTTAATGGAAAAGTTTTATTGTGTTACTCCCTTGTAAAGGTTTCTGACAGTGTAGTGCACCTTCTTAAAGATGGCTGCTGTCTAAAACTGTAGTACATTTATAATTACAGTATACAGTGGGGTATGCTATAACGAACGGATCCTACTACGAATATTCCTATAACGAACAGTTTTACCTATAAAATTGAGAATGCTATAACGAACGCAACTCCTACAACGAACGCGGATGAATACGGGACTATTTCGCCTGGCGCATGAATATTGTTGTACCGCGACCCACAACAAGAGCGTCAGGCGCCATCTTTGTCTCATTGTGTAGCCAGTGCACCACTGTTATTGTTGAAATTTCGTCTTTTGATGTGGAAATTCGCATTATTTGTATAACTATTTTGTTATACAAGTATACAATTGTAACAATGAATCGTCCAAAGCAAGTGAGAAAGCTAATAACCCTTGAAACTAAGAAAGAAATTATAAAGAAACGTTAGAATGGAAGAAGCATTGCGAAACTTAGTGATGAATATGGGATGGCTAAATCGACTATATGTACGATTTTGAAGAATAAAGGGGAGTTAAAAACTGTGCAAGTGGCTAAGGGAATCTTTAGACTTAGCAAAGCAAGGTGTAATGTGATTGAAGAGATGGAAAATTTACTCTTAGTGTGGATAAAGGAGAAAGAAATGGCAGGTAGTAACATTAGTGAAGCTATAATTTGTGAGAAGGCTAAACAATTGTTTGAGGACCTTAAAGCCAAGACTCCCAGTGGAAGTGATAGTGCTGTGCCAGTGTTTAGGGGTACCTGCATGCTGAATAACACTAAGGTAAGATAAAGTACCGTATTTTTTACATTTTCCACAGAATTTTTTCAGTGTTAAGTGGTTGTATTTGGGGGCCTGGAACAGATTAATCCTATAACGAATGAATGCTATAACGAACGAAGTTCTGGAACCAATTACGTTCGTTATAGCATACCCCACTGTAGTCTGGTTTTACGCGGTTAATTAAACCCATGGAGGTCCGCTTATAAAGCGAAAAGTGTAAAAATAAACAGAACCTATGGGATTAATTGAAATAGAGACTGGGCCGACCGCCAGACTACCCTTTTTTGGCTATCGCTGACACAATACGTACATTGTAGTAAAAATAACATCTTAATTTTATGATGGTATGCACACACAATTAATATATACTGTAAGAGAAATATCAATAATATTGATTTTTTTAACACTTACGTTAGTAGAAGAGATGGCTGGGCACACGGTGACGGGGGGTTGGTTCCGAGGCAGAGGGGCAGATTATTGGCCCTCACTTGTCATTCTATCCACCACAGAGGCTAGCAGGGCCTCCTCGTCAAAACCCTCGAAGTTCACATCCTCACTATCACTGACTTGGGCTGGCTGTGGTGGTTGGCGGGTGAAGAATTCGGTGATGTTTTGTTGACAGCTAGCATTGATGTGGTCGTGATACAGCTGAACATAGGGCTCCTGGCATTTCAACAGATGGTTATTAGACACTTCGTGGCGATGATTGACTGGGTCTTTGACAAGAATGAGCTTCATTCTCTCGGCTAACTCGATGACTTCCTTCACATCAGCATGTGTTAGTTTCTGCTCTTGTTGTTCTGTAACACCTCGCTGCTCACTGATGTCATCATCTTCCAACATCTCGTCCGCAGTCACCTTAGGTTGCCTGATTACCTCCAGGATGTCGTGGTTGGTGGTCTCGGAGAAGCCTGCAGCTCTAACACCCTGTGCAGCCTCTCTTGCATTCTCCAATGCCACAGCAACACACTGAGCCTTGGGGAAGCCATTGTGTAGAGAAAAAAAAAACACTGGTTCCTGGGCACGAGTGAATATACACGGAGACAGTGAGATTGATGAGGCGGTGGAGAGCGAGGGTGGCGGGGGTGGCAAGGATAACTAGACCAATCATAGCGCGCGGCGGAGGGGGTGTGTGGGTGGTAAGGGTACGTGGCCCAATCACAGTCCGCTATGTCACCGGCGCGAGTCTGACGTCAGCGCCCAGCACCTTGCCCCACCGCTTGCCGCATATATGATGGCATTTATCGCGTATATAATAATTATCGCTTCTGGACAGGTGCCACGTAAATGGCCGTCCGCGTAAACCCAGACCATACTGAAATCTAATATTCAATAGAACGTTCTTTAGGACTCCGTCTGTCAAATTTGTGTCATAGTTGTATGCATTCCAATATTGCATACTCAAGTAAGTGCCTCAATGGCCATTAACCCCTTTATGGGGATGCCACTTTTGATATTTTATTTGGCTAATGCCAGATGATTTTATTCATGGAGATCCTGTACAGACTGGATGGGGTGATCTGATATTAAACTGCATGCCTCTGTGATGGGCAGAGAAAGTGTATATAGTGGTAGGATTCTCACATGTCAATTACTTTCCTTGGTAAGAAAATGGGATTCCATATTTCAATACTTCATATTTCAGGCCCTTGATGAGTCTTCCTTAAGGTTGCTGAATCGTGACCACAGCATCAAAGAGGCTATGCAGTGTATTCATGTTGCCAAACAACTTTTTCCAGGCCGAATGTCCATAGATCTAATTTTTGGAAGACCTGCCCAGACAACACAAAGGTTAGTACATTATTGAAAAAAATAAAATAAAAATAAAAAAAAATAAAAAAATAAATTGTACAAGAAATATGTGTATTTTCTCATTGTACAGTACTAGACCCTCAATACATTGTGATTCAATACTTTGATTTCGTTATTTTGTAGTAACCTAAATTACTTGCACTTTTTGAATCAGTCGGACTTTAATTTGCAGTACAAGCCCAGAAAAATTAATTACTGTAAATGGACCACAACAAATATTTACAGTGTTTACGTAGTACAGTACAGGGGTGTATTGTGTAGTGACTGAATATTCCTTTAAACCTTACAGTACTATGAGCAAAGAGATAAAGGAAAGTAAACTATGTAGTTGTCTTCATCTGGTAGTATTAAGAACAGATATGCAATTAAAGTTGGAGAAAATTAAGATAATCACTTAAAATCCCCTGAGAGCTGCCCTTCTATCTCCAAGCAATAATTTATTTTCTTATCTGTAACTACTCAAGTGCTGTATGCAAGTGGATAGAGTAATTTAAGGTAAGAAGCCAAGACATTATCACAATAATAATACTGTACAGCTGGCAGGAATTATTCAAGTGACTAAATTATCATGTGTTGTTGAGAAGAAATCACATGCAAGAATTTTTAAGTGTTATTTCTTTAAATATGTTCCTAGGGGCTATTTTTAAGAAAATTTTCTCATGCCAAATGTACTGTATTATGCAGTACTGTATACAGTGAACCCTCACTTTACGCGGTCAATTGAACCCACGGCGGCCCGCGTAAAGTGAGAAACGAGTAAAGTGAACAACATAACATAGGATTAATTGAAATAGAGACCGGGCCGACCCCCAAACTCCACTTTTTCAGACACAATACCTACGTTGTAGTAAAAATAACTTTTTAATTTTATGATGGTATGCACACACAATTAATAATTAAGAGAAATATCAATAATATTAGGTTTTTTAACACTTACATTAGTAGAAAAGATGGCTGGGCACACGGGGATGGGGGGTTGGTTCCGAGGCAGAGGGCAGATTATTGGCCCTCACCTGTATCACTTGTATCAATTGTATCACTATCCACCACAGAGGCTTGCAGGGCCTCTTTGTCAAACCCCTCAAAGTCCATATGAGTCCATATCCTCACTATCATTATCACTATCACTGACTTGGGCCGGCTGTGGTGGGTGGCGGGTGAAGAACTCGGTAATGTTTTGATGACTGGGCGACCTTGTGCGCACCCTGCTCGCGCCGCTCTCCGCGTTAAAGGGTACACACACCACGGAAAGTGAGCATTCCGTGTTCGGCAGGGTACCGCGTAAAGTGGGACCGCGTAAAGTGGGACCGCGTAAAGCGAGGGTTGACTGTATACATGTACTTCAATTACAAATACATAAAACTTTGAACAAACCTTAGTTGCTATAATAAGGAATATAATTTTGAAGATAAAGCTCTGATGGTGATCGACAAAGCACCTGGTCATCCACCAGCTATGGTCGACTGGTGCAAGAACATTTAAGTTGTGTTACGGCTTTGCTGCAACCCATGGACCAGGGCGTCAATTCTACATTCAAGACGTTCTACACTCAGCGTATCATGGAGCAGCTGATTGAGGGGACCGATGGAGAAGGGAAACCTACAATCCGGGAGTTTTGGAAAAACACTACAACATCAGAAAGCCATAAAAAACATCAGTGATTCATGGGAGGCAATAACACAACAGAACATGAACGGTGTGTGGCGTAAGCTGTGACCCGAGTGTGTGCACAACTTCGTTGGTTTCCCTTCAGTGCCTGCAATAAGGAAGACTATTGTGACTCTTGCAAAGAAGGCTGGATTCGATGAAGTGGATGACGCTGAAGTAGAAGACATCCTCGACTCTCACAATGAAGAATTTACGAATGAAGACCTGATAGAACTGGAGAGGCTTCAGCAGGAAGAAATGCCACTTGCAACAGGAGAAGATGCTGATAAAACTCCAACGCAACTCCTCACTGTACAGAACCTAAGGAAGCTGATTTCTTCATTTGAGATGGCGATGGATATGGCATTAGAAATGGACCCTAATGTTGACAGAAGTTGCACTATCATCCGCAATGTCAAGAAAGACGTACATACTACGAGGTGCTTGAGGAGAAGAGGAAGAATACACAACATATGACTCTTGATGCATTTATCACGGCCAAACCTTCAACCCCCAGTTGAGCGTTCATTATATCGGATTCCGTTAAATCTAGTGTAATGTATAAATATAAACTACAATAATGTTGAATTGACCCAGAGGGTACTCCACCTCCCTCCTCCTCGAGCATTTTCTTAAATTCTAGTATTAAGTTTCCTGCAGCTACAGTATCACCACTGGCAGACTCACCAGTCACTTTGATATTAAGGAAACTGTACCATTGCTTAAAATACTGAAACAAACCTCAGCTGGCTTTACACTCTTCGTCTTTAGAACCTCCACCTTCATTGGCCTTTAAGTCATCAAATAAAGACTTGGCATGACATTGATTTTGTTCGTAAGTCCACATTGCGAGCATCTTTTCCATTTTCTCCATCACTCCACTATGAGTGCGACTTGTCGTATTAGCACTCGTAGACAAAGCACTTCCGACACTGGTGTTATTTTTCTCGGCACTAGCACGAATAGTATGCACTGTGGTAGTGGGTAAACCCAACACTACCTCTATGTCCACAGCACGTTCGCCGGCTTTAAAGTGATGCAAAACATCAATCTTCACTGCAAGACTGAAGTTTCTTCATTGCTTCTTGCAACTAGCACTACTAAGAGAATCACTTCCTGGTTGTTTTGAAGCCACTTCAGTGGGAAAAATAGAGCAAAAAACAATGTGAGCAAGGTGAACACGAGGTACACAGAGCATGCAATGGCATCCACACTCGGCAGGTGTATGCGAGACGGATTCTCTGCGGTGACGTTGTACAGCATCACTAAGGTGGGCAAGGGAAAGTGTGTGGAGCAAATTATTACCGTCTGACCAGCAATGTAATAACGATTTTACACAATGTTGTGTGGAGCCTTGGTATAGAAATAGTTTTGATGTAATAAAATAACGTTAACTGGGACAACAATAAGCTCAAGTAATTGAATATTAATATAAAGGTTAAAACTGGTAAAACTAATTTAACCATGATATGGAACACACTTGATAACATATCAACATGTATATGCAGTACCTTAAATGTATATTGTGGTACAGGGTACAGAACATGTGATTAAGTATATTTAAGTACAGTAGAACGTTGATTTAAAGTGATTCAATTTAAAATTATTGATTGAAAGCGACACCCACCCTGATGTTTACCGCCAGACACGTCTCTGGACACGCTACACAGCAGCCCGCCACCCTCCCACATACTCAGTTCTCGCACTGACGCTCTAGTGAACGGACATATTGTGTGACACTATCTCCTCCTACCATGTGCATCAACCATCGCCACTACGTCCAAGAGGCCAGCCACTACATCATTAACTACCCCAAAGACCATGAAATCATGGCAAGCAATTACACTGGAGCAGAAAAAGAAGGTGATGGAAGCACTGCAGCGAGGAAATGGTGCTTCATGTGTGGGGCGCCAATTTGGACAGTGATGTGGATAATGAGCTGGTCGAGTTGGGCTCTGCATCTTGAGAGGATGAATTGCCTAAGTAAAATGGAGTGAAAATCTATTTTTGATAGCATAAAGCAATTAAAAACTAAGTTGAGAGGAAAGTGAAAGTGCTTGGCGAGTCAGACGAGAGGCAGGTGGTGCGCGGCACTAGAGCGACCACCCTCTCACATCAGCCGATCGTTAGTAAATAGACAATTTCACATCCTTTAATTTTAGCTGTGTTGATTTAATGTGTGTTTGTTTTAGCAAAATACTACAAAAAACAATATTTCGTTTATTGTAATGGGCTGAGGTGCATCTGGGTAGAATTTCAGTCTTTTTAGTATTTTGTGTTTCTCTTAAGTACCCAACTAAATTATTCCATTGAAACAGCACTTCGATTTAATGCGAATTCGGTTTAAAGCGAGACCCCTCTCGGAACGTAGCTTATGTTATATCAACGTTCTACTGTACATCTAACAGTAATATGCATCTGGAAGTATCTGGCATCTGTAAACTTTGCTGACACTTCAATAGATAGTACCACTGTTTGACTGCACAATTTCCTATCTTTTTGTTTTATGTACTGTATTACCACTGTGTAGCTTTGACAGTTCACCCACAAGTCACGACATCCCAAGTTCTTTTACTCCATCACTTACCTAGCCACCTTGAATCTAAATAACTGCTTCATGGGCTGTAGTGGTTCAGAGTCAAGACGTGTTATAATTTGTTAATAAATAAGTGTTTTGAAATGATGGAATAAATATTAAAGTGAGAAAAAGTGGTGTCTTAAATGAGTTTTTGGCATATTTTGTATGCTCCAGTACCATACTGTACTCTTTATTTCCTTTTAAAATACTGTACTGAACATAAAATGATATATCGTGATTCACTATTTAAAGATCATTCTTGATCCCATTCTTGCAGTGTATCGAGGGTCTACTGTGTAGTACAGTACTGTATTAAAATTTAGTAGCAGTTCAAATTTAAGTGATTTTTTTTCTTTATCCTGTGGGACAGTAAGTGACCTAAGTGGCACCAACTAAAACATCTCTTGGCAGAAGCCACCAATCTCAGGAACTTGACAGTCTAGCAGCACTTGCCTTGTGAATAAGAGTATAGTACAGCAATTGCTGCCAATTATTTTTTGGCAGTAATAAATACAGTTGCTACAAAGTCAATGATTTAACAACTTAAATACAGAACATGGTTATTTTTAGAAGTCTATCGAAATGAAGAATAAAAACATACTAAATCATAAGTTACGTACAGAAGATCTCATATTTCGCACGATTTCATTTCGCGTTTTTTAATTTCGCGAGCACTACCTAATGTAACCAAGTCTTATATTTGCCGTAAAATATTGTGAGATTCAGCCAGCTGAATGTGAGATCCAACCAGCTGAATGCTGGCCACTGTCTTGTATGACATCACAGCCCTCATACCAGTTACAGTCATTTCTGCTACAACATGTGTTTTGTCAACGCGAATTGGTTGCAACGCGATTCATGAATAAGGGAACGCTGTTTGTAAAATGCGAACTTTTGCATACAAATGTTGGCTATTGCGTGATTCCATCCTCGATGTTCTTTTTTTATTTTCAATTTTTTTATTTTTACGGGATATGCCCACCCGGGCACAGGTCACTGACCCACATCGGGGCTGGGGGGCAAAGCTGTAATAATAATAATATTAATAATAATTCATAGTAAATAATAATAATAATAATAATAATAATAATAATAATAATAATAATAATAATAATAATAATAATAATAATAATAATAATAAAGAATAAAAAAAAAATGATCAAAAGTGAGAAATATACTTAAGTATGTTGTGTTGTCAATAGTGAGAGAAACAATTGAGACCCTGCAATTCTGTGTGAATGAGGCAGAAAGTCAGATCAGCAACCTGGGACTTGGTCAAAATTTTTGTGATGCCATATGGCAGCAGGGTCTACTATAGACAATACATTATGCTTCCAATATCTTCCCAGGTGGTAGTACCTCCCTGTTTGGTAGTGGGGTTATGCAATGTTTACAATTCACGTTCGACATCACATGTTCAATTGATTCGTGTCTTGTTTGTGAAGTGTTTTTTGAGAGGTAGTACTCTGTAAATTTTGTTGTTGTTTTTTTTTTGCAAATTTTGCTGTTACCCATAAATACTGTATGAAAAGAATAAGTTAAAAGAATGTTTTTCGCAGTGAGGACTAATAACGGTTTACATCAGCGCTCTCTGTTTACATCACGTGATCAGTTGAATCACGCGGTTTCTGTCAATTACTCCGTAATTCTCACTATTTTCTCCAATTTTGTTGTGTTAGCGATAAATACGGAAAGACAAGGTAAGAAGAATGTTTCCAAGAAGCGTTCTGGTGATCGAATTGCCGGTGGTGAACGTAAAAGGGGTTTACAAGAATGCAACTATCGCGTTGTAGCCCAGGCCATCCTAACGACCGCCCGGGCTGTTATTGTGTGCATTTTTTGGGTGGTGCTACCACTTGGGGGTCCTATTGGTGCGACAGACTCACCTAAGCAGCCAAATAAGGAAAAGGAGAAGCGGGACTATCATATGGGAGTTAAGTTTGCCGGGTATTCGATGCAGGATAAGCAGCGTCTGATTAAATTACTTGAGGAAGGCCTAAAAACAAGTCTCCGGAAAGCACAATCAAGTCAATAAAGGCAGAATTTTTATCATTTGGAGGTTATAAATGGGAAAATCAAAGGTTGATGTAGAGTGGCCAGTCTATATTGTTATTTTTCTCATTAGTTTATGTATTTGCATTTGGCAAATTTTAATTTGGTGCAATTTTTCCAGTCTATATTACTCGCGAAATACAAGATCTTACTGTACAGTACATTTCTTAGAACATATCACGATATGAAAATGCTGTCGATATATCAGACTGGGTATAACCAATATTATTTATTTTCAGTTTTGGCTAATTAGTATTGACGGCATTATTTCAACAATTGATATTACTATATTCAAATAGTTTTTATTTGTCTGAAAATTTGTGAAATCACATTCTCATGGAATATAATTCTGTAAAGTTAACAAGTTGGGAATTGTCACAAACTTGCCAAAAATAGAAATATCAAATTTCCATATTTAACAGTGTCAAGATACATTTTGGTGGGGGGAAATAATACTGTACGGTATACTCTTTTGTATGATTCATATGATCCTAAGTTTTCACTATCAATTAAAAAAATTTCATTACAGTTGGGCACAGGAGCTGGAGAAGGTGTTGAGTTTCTGTGATGACCATATTTCACTGTATCAGCTGACAGTGGAGCGTGGAACTAAGTTGTTTTGTCAAGTTAAATCGGGTAATGTGCGGTTTTTATTTGTATATTTTAAATCCATCAAAAATTGGATATAAAATAGTATGGCTGATAGTGTTTGAATGTCTGGTTAGTTTTCCATAAAGATTTCTTATTCAGAATGTACTTCTGGTATTGTTATAAATATTGTGATGAATTGGTATGAATATTTAACACCGCTAGAATTGCAGGCAACTAATTTTAAGACTAATGTTGGTGGTACAGCAGTAATATGAGCATCTCTCACCCTATGCCATGGGCTTGAGTAAAGGCCATAAATAATAAAAAACAGACCAACTGCCCAAATGGTTAGTAAGCTAAGTGATCGAATGATAAATTAATGGTGAAGGTCAAATATCAAAACCATCTCTAAAACAAACCATAGTTCTTTTATATTTGTACAGTAGTACAGTACAGTACTCCCTCTTTATCGACGGATTTTTTATCGACGGTTTCGATTATCGACGGATTATTTAGCCGGATTTTTATTTTGGCACCAAACAGCTTCTCCCAGTCCTCTCCTTGAACAGGGCTAGAGGGTACGTGTTTTTCGAATCGTTTTCAGTTAAAAAATTATTACATCACACGTATATTTTACCTAAACTGCGCCTGAATGAATATATTCTCGGAAATAAATAGTAGTTTTGCTGAAACGTGATGTATTTCAATGTAAAATAGGATAAAATACATGACGAAAACAAAAGACTTTACCTAAGCTTCCGATGTTCTTGAGATGTTACTCGTTTTTTTAATAGTTTTCGGTTAAAATTCTGTTATATTACAATGATATTCTATTCATACTGTGCTTGATATAATACATTCACGGAAATGTAATATTTTTGCTGAAATGACGTACGTATTACAGTGGAAAGTGGGATCAAATCGTGACGAAAACAATGACTTTCGCTTTCTTTCGTTCAAAAGATGTTACCGTAATCACTTTTCGAATGGTTTAGTTAAAAAACTGTTGTATTACAATAATATTCCCTCCTAATTGACTTGAATAAATACTTGAATGGAAATATACAATATTTTTGTTGAAACTACCCGCGTTTCAGTGTAAAGTGTTGTAATAATAAATGGTAAACAATTTGCCTTGGGCATCCGGATTTTTGGACTTTTACTGTACTGTACACTGTTTTGTTTACTGTAAGGACCGATGTTCACTTCAATAAATGAAATCGTAAGTTTGCTAGTATTTTTGTCCACTTATTATATTATTATTTATACACTATTATTTAAGGTTATGTGTAAAGGAAACGCATTAATGCTTAAAGGTACATTTATTCAACATATGCTAATAATAGTTAGAAAAATTACGTAACACGGTATCGACGGTTTCTTTATCGACGGCCGTTTACAGAACGTAACCCCCGTCGATAAAGAGGGAGTACTACTGTATAGCCAAGTACCAGACACCAACGTATCCACAACACTGTAAAACTAGATTGTAGATTCTTTGGTAATTTTACTCCAACAATATTAACACTGAAATTCTAACAGAACAAAACAACTTTAACTGTGTGATAATGCTGTACAGTAGCTAAAACAACTCTCTGTGCAGGTGGGGGTCGATATGCTCCGAAATTTTACGTGTGACTAGTGACAGCCCTCATATACCAAAATTTATCGTCCTTGGTCTCATTGTTTCCCACAAACTGTGCACAGATAGTTGTTTTAGCTATTGTACATATTCAGTGTATGGTTTTAAGGATAAATGAAATGATTATACAGTGGTCCCTCGGTTAACGAACTCAATCTGTTCCAGCAGGTTGTTCGTTAACCGAAAAGTTCGTTAACCGAAACCATTGTTTCAATGGGTTTTTGGGTAATTGGTTCCAGCTCACTGAAAATTTCCTAAATTCAACAAAAATGGTAGAAAAGTTCACTTGCTTTGAGGTGTGTATGTAGAAGACTCCTGGATGATGATGATGGGAATTAGAATGGGGGTGGAGGAGAAAGAAGAAGAAAAGGCATTGGGGTGGAAGAGAAGTCACCCCATGGCACCATTTCATCCATAAAATTTTAGTTCTCTTGGTGTATTTCAAGATTATTTTCTTTAAATCAACACTGCACTGCATTATATATTGTCAATATGTAAAATATATTTCAAAATGACCAATAATTTGCTTGGAAACACAGAAAAAAAGCGTTTAGTTGAAGAGAGTCTCAAGCAAGATGTTACCTCCACTGAAAACAGAGAGAGACTAACGCCTGTCTGGTGTGTTAACAGGCTGGATGGCACGCCAGAAACTAGTTTCTTTACCTTCAATTATGTTCAATAATTGTTAAAATGACTAAAAAAGTTAATATTAAACTTTTAAAATTATTGAATAGTATAAACTTCTTGATATTTACTAAAATGGTAAGGAATTTAAGCCCTAGAACCGATTAATGTATTGGCGGACTGATACTAAAGCTGGTTGCCCGGCCAGTGCAAGCGAAAACATGTTGAGGTCGGTTCGTAAGAAATTCGTTAACCGAATTGAAGATTCTTATGGAAGGCAGTTCGTTAATCGAAATTTCGTTAACCGAGGGATCACTGTATTACTAAATAAAGTCACTGTTCATATAATATACAGAGGGTACAGGTTTTTAGGAATGCAGCATGCAAGTTAAGTGGACAATGACTGAACTGTATAGATGTATGTAATTTAGTATCTTTTGGCCAACATTGGACAAAGGTAAGACTCAAATGTACTGTATTTTCTAAGCATATCATGCTCCCCTAAGCAGTGCTTAATTTAATGGTGAGTGAAGCAGGAGCATAATAGATTCCACCCATTAGTCCATAAAATGGACTAACTGGTGGAACCTATTATGTTCTAATCTTGTTTACAAGGTATCTTAAAAATAGATGAATGCATATTGATCAGACTTCCATACCTTTTTGAAGGACATGGACAAAGAAATTTATATTAAAGATAAACGACAGGATGAATGGATGCTTAACCAAACTGATACAATTTGTATTAAAGATTTTAAACAATTAACTTTTGGCGATCGCTGCTTCAAGTCAAGATCAAAAGTAATTGGTCTACTCAAAGGGCATACCACATTGTTGTCCCACATTTGTAACATTTTGCTGCAAATTGGTGATTAGGATTAACCACAATTATTCTACGAACAGATTTAAATTATAAATTTCTCTATCAATGCACCAGTGGGAGCACCTGTGTTAAATTACAGCACCTGTACACTGTAGTTATTTTTTAATCAAAATAAATATATATACATGTATAACCAATTCTCATTTTCTAACCCTTTGTCTCATACAAAATCTCTTTACCTCCTGATCTTTGTGTATCTGCAGTTATATATAATCTCCCTATAAATAAGTATTCTGGTCATTCTAATTTTAAAAATGAATTCAGGATACTAGACATGCAGTTTTTATAGATTTTTACAAAGATATTTTAGAACAGTTGGTTTAAATTATGTCTGAGATGCATGATTTTGGGGACTCCTTTTTCTTTTTTCTTTCTCACTTCATAAGTTTTAATGACTACTATGGGTCCGTAACATTTTGTTTCATTAAGTACAGTACTGTACTGTACATTGTCATAAAGATATCCAATTAACCAATTTGATGGTCTAATGTTTACAGATTTTTTCTTTTCAGGGGAGGTAATAATGCCAAGTACAGACCAAATGGCAGACTTATATGAAGTAGCAGTGTCCTTGCTCGACAGTTCAGGTTTCACGAGATATGAGGTCTCTAATTTTGCCCGAGGGTATTTGGCAGAGTGTGTTCACAACAAATCCTATTGGCAGGGTTTACAATATATTGGTGTAGGTCCTGGTGCTCATAGCCGTGTAGTTCCAAAAACTATAAGTGAAAATAATAGTGTTGATAATCTTTGTATTAGTAAGTTTTCCAGAAAGGAAACACATTTTAATAACTCTAGGAATAATGAATTGCATTCACTTCAAAATAACAATTGCCTTTCAAAAAATGATTATAATAACTATACAGTTCGTGAAGCAAGAGTCAATGCTGCAGATCCAGCAAACTGGTTACGAGAAGTGACACTGAATGGATCTGGGGTACGTAAAATTACACCACAAACAATGTTTGATGTAATCTGCGAGTATGTAGCGTCTGGATTAAGGACAAACACAGGAATTACTGCTGAAACCTGGAATATATTGCTACCCCACATTACCCTTTGGGAAGCATTTCATGAAAGTACTGTTTGGCTTCAAGAAAATAAGTTGCTGCAAGTGTCCAGTGAAAGGGTAAAAGCTACAAGACAGGGATTAAATGTGTTAGATTCTATCCTTCCATATTTATTAAATATATTGGAAGAAAAATTTACAAAATTTGATTAGATGTGTACAAACTTTTGTTAACAAGCAGATATATCAGTAATAAAAATAAAGATCTCATTCTGGCACAAAACATTTAGTTTTTGTTAAAGCTGAATCCTTCCCTGCCAAAATTTTTAAATGGTAAGATATTGGTGTGGTAGTTATGTACATTAGGTATGAAAACTTGCTGCAATAGTTTAAAATCTACAATCATCACTGCAAATAAAGATTTTTCCCCCCAAATGTGACAGCATGTCAGCAACGCCATGCTTGGAATTTTAGGAACATTCTGAAGCTTCCTCCAATACACTTCGAATTTAGCCCTGTATATACTTGAAAATTCTTTCAATTTATCCAATTGTTTTTAGAAATGGTGCTGTTTTGCCAGACAGCAACCTTAAAGTTCTATTCCATTCAGCAGTAAATTTTAGCTTTACTGGTGAATTTACCGCAATCATGGCTCTAAAGAAGAAAATTAGTTGCATGTCAGTTACTTTAGTATAAAAAACGGAGGTTATAGGTATACATACAGGGGGACCTGAATACAGTACAGTAAAATTTCTGTTAGTCGGAATCCCTCTTAACAGGAACTTTCCGATAACCGGAATAGAAATGTTCTCGGAAAATTGTTCCTAAAGACGTAATTTTCCGGATTAGGAGAAAATTTTCCAAGGGGCACATTTTCTGGAAATTCCAATAAAATTTTCCCAGTACCTGGAAAATTCCGGGGATGGGGGAAGTAGCCGATTGAATGGAGGTGGTTGCTAAGACGAGTTATGCCGAGGCATTAACAGGGCCACGAGAGGTGGCGGAGAGTAATGCAGGATCAGAACAGGTTCTACAGCAGCTCGGGACTGAAGAAGTGTGTCGAAGAAATGAAAATCAGTGGACCTAATGGTAATGGAGAGGAGGAACATTGGGAACGTTTCCAGCGCAGGAACAGTGAAATAGTTTTTGGAGTCCCTGAGAGCCAGGCGGAAGGAACTGAGAGTAGGATAACACACTATAAGATGCAGTTTAAGAATATTTGTACAGAGGTTCTCAAAATGCCATCAACCCCTCAGGATGCGAGAAGGTTGGGACAAGAGAAGGGGGATAAGCCTCGCCCCCTCAGGATCACACTAATAAGTGAGGAGGAGAAATAGAGATTATTTGGCAGGCAAAAAACTTAGCAGAGAGCGAGGCATTTCAGAGTGTATTCATTCACCCAGATTGCACGGTAATGCAGAGGGAAGAGCACAAGAAGCCCCTGCAGGGCTTGAAGCAGAAAAGGGAGGAGTCAAGGAGGAACGAGGACGGGTGTACATGGGTTATATTCAGGGAGGAGGGTAGTGGAAGCAAGTGTGCCGACAGAGCCAGGGGGCAACAGCACACCCTCCACCCATCAGCCAAAATGAAGCGAGCGCCGTGTAAGCAATGGCATTTCTAACCACACCCTGCAAAATACAGTGTACTTAACAAATGCTGCAGCTTCTGAGAATGGAGAGGGGTCGGAGACTACTACGAGCAGAGACGTTAACGAGAACAAATTCTGGCTTGAATGTCCTGTACCGTACACTAATATGGACATGTTCCTTGATAAGAGAGAGGAGTTTGAAACACAAATGAAGGTGCACCAACCTGATATTGTAGGAGGTGTAGAACTGTTGTACAAGAACAGAAGAATAGACCCAGAGGAATGCGAGTTCAGTACAGTATTGCTGGACATGACTCATTTACGAACCTTTGTCAAGAAACTTGCAAGAGGGGTGTGGTTATCTATGCTAGGCAAGACCTTAGAGCCAGCCAGGCGAGGGTACACAGAGAGGATGTGTTTGATGAGTCCAAGTGGTGTAAAATTAAATTAAAGGGAGAAGACTTACTTATTGTCGGTGTATCTACAGATCCCCAAACTGTGGCCCACTAAATCAAAGGAACTTAAGAGCCTTATTCGACAATGCAGTGATGTCCAACCATAGCCACCTCCTTATCATGGGGGACTTTAACTATGGCAACATCGACTGGAGAAACGAGTTCACCCCAAATGACTTGAATAATCATGATACTCTTTTTGTAGAAACCCTGAGAGATAATTTTCTGTTCTAACAGGTTAGAGACACGATACATTGTGGGGAACGGGTTGTTTGTTCACACTCAGGATGGGATGGAGAAAGGAAACTCACAATGTGCTCTCTGTATACATATTGTATTGGATGTACAGTGCAGCTTGGTGCTGGGAAGTGGCAGCGTGGTTACAAGCGTGATGTAGAGAGAGCTGGTTGGTGAGGGTGCTCAGAGGAGGACCAGCTTGTGGGTCGCCAAGGTCGCCGGCTGGAGCGAGGACCTCCAGGCAGGGGGAGGAGGTGTTGCTTGCTGGTTGGTGTAGGTAGAAAGAGGTAGGTCACCACGAAGTCAGGTCTTATATAACGGAGGTAGGCGTGGCTTAATAGTTGACCTCCGTCATGTAAGGCGGCGCTGGTTGAACTAGACCACGAGGCATCCACTGGGGAATTCGCGGGGTCGGCTACTCAGCGACAAACAGCATTTGTAGGGGAGGAATCCACTACAACATTACAGAGGGGAGCAAACACACAAGCCACTAGACCTCATCATAACAAACGAGGAGGGTATGGTGGCCACTGGAACACCTTGCCCCAGTTGGCACCAGTCACAAGTAGTGTTGTCATTTAGATTCAACTGTTACCTAGTTCAAGATAAGGCCAGGCCAAGGAGCAAATATTACAATGGGATGAGGGAAGATATGAGGGGTATCCACTGGCCTGACTCATTAAGGCACAAAAATGCAGACACTACGCTAAACATCATAACTAGTAAAGTGACCCATCTGATCGATAAATACGTACCCAAGACCAAACCCAGTGCCTCTAGGAATACGAGGGGATCCCTACACATGAACCATGCGGCGGTCGACAAAGTTAAGAAAACCCAGAAATTCACGACATGGGTTGGGTTAAACGATGAGCAGGACAGGAGGATGTATGCAAGAGCCAGAAACCAAGCAAAGAAAGAGTGTAGAAGGGCTGAAAATGAGTTCCAGAGGCTGGTTGCAAGCGAGGTCAAGTCAAACCCAAAGGTGTTTTACCACTATGCAAAGTCAAAATAAAAAATGCTAGTAGGAGTATGAGACCTGAGGCTTGAAGATAGTAGTTACGCAAATTCTGACCAGGATAAAGCTGAGGCATTAAACAGCTTCTTTTCCTCAGTGTTCACAAGAGAAGATGCGATTAACCTTCCTGCTTTTGAGGACAGACGGTTTGGCACAGCACTGACCCACATTGTGTTCACAGAAGAGGGTAATAGATATAAACTGTCAAAGCTAAAGGTCCATAAGAGTCCCGGCCCTGGCATAGTGCATCCCAGAGTGCTAAGAGAGTTGTGCAACGAGCTTGCCTAGCCCTTGAAGATCCTGTTCTGTATATGCCTGGATGAACAAAAGGACCCCAATGATTGGAAAATGGCTCGTGCGAGTCATATCTTCAAGAAAGGCGATCGTTACTCCACAAATAACTATAGACCGCCGAGCCTGACGAGCATAATATGTAAAGTACTTGAGAGTATTATCAGAGATGCTATGATGGAACATCTACTACGAAACAACCTTGAAAAGGATTGTCAACACTGTTTTATGCCAAGGCGCTCCTGCTTAACACAATTGCTCAAGGTATTGGATATTTGGATCCATATTCTGGAATGGGGTGGTAATATCGACAATACGAGTATATACCTAGATTTTGCCAAATCTTTTGACAGTGTACCACAAGAAAGGCTGAAAATCAAACTAGAAGGGTACAGAATTCGGGGAAATGGCCTAGCGTAGATAGAAGACTTTCTACATGACCGCAAGCAGTGTATGGTGATTAATGGCACGAAATCATCATCTGTACCTGTCACAAGCGGGGTACCACAGGGCAGTGTATTGGGCCAACTGTTGTTTGTTTGTTTTTTTGTTTGTTCATAAATAACATGCCTGACGTTGTACACTCCTCCATAGATAAGTTTGCTGACGATGCCAAGATATTTCTGGATATTAAGAACCAAGCGGACTGTGAAGAGCTGTAGAAGGATCTCTGAGCGCCAAGAATGGTCGAAGAAATGGGTGCTGAGATTTTATGTAACGAAGTGCAAGAAGATTCACCTGGGACGTACCAACGGTAAGGAGGCGTATCAGATGTCCCAACGGAATGAAGAAACTGCACTATTTGAGACTGAATGTGAGAAGGACCTTGGTGTGTATGTTGACAATGAGCTGAAATTCTCGGGCCATTGCGAGAAGAAGGTAAATCAGGCAATTAAATTATTGGGTCTTATAAGAAGGTTATTCAGATATCTAGATGGTCCGTCCCTCGTAACGATCTTCAAGAGTGAAGTGCTTCCCCATCTGGAGTACTGACACCACGTCTGGTCCCCAAGATACGCTAGGGACTGTCAGTTGGTTAAAAATGTTCAAAGGAAGGCCACCAGACTGGTGCCTGCACTTCGGCACCTCAACTACCCTGAGAGATTGGGGCACCTGAACTTGCCTAACTTGTACTACAAACGGGCAAGGGGCGACCTAATTGAGGTGTATAAGCATCTCAAGGAGCACTACTCAGTCGAGTGTCCTTACTTGGAGCTGGCGGATGCTCGCCTCACAAGTGGTCACAGCTGAAGATTGAAGAAGCCGCAAGTCCAGAAAACTGTGAGGGCAAACTTTTCGGAATGAGAGTTGTGAACTCTTGGAACTATCCGCCAGAAAGTGTTGTGACGGCATCGAGTGTGAGTTCTTTCAAAACCAGACTTGACCAACACTGGAGCAAGTTCAAGTACATTCAGGAGCTGGTGCATGCCCAGTACTTGCCAACAGTGCATAAGAGCCAGTACATGCCTAGTACTTGCCAACAGTGCATGACAGATGTGACTGATCGCTCAAGCAGCTAACGAGCCGATCAGCGGTGAAAAGGATAAAAGTAAAAAGTAAGGTTCCTGGAAAATTCCAAGGAAGGGGGATATTTTTACAGGTTCGAGAAATGATGAAATGTGCAATTTCTGGAACTTCCGAGAAAATTTTTCCATTGCTCGTTAAATTCCAGGAAGGAGGGATTTTTCCGGCTT